TATTTCTATTTAATCTGAAACTTAAATGGACTGTTTGCCCTGCCTGTTGGTGAAACACAAGCTCTTCTCTTCCTAAGGCCCTAAGTGAAAAGAGAAAGTGAAACCACATGGCAAAGGTTAGAAAAACCACTGTTTTACCGATGTGAAGGTCCGAAGAAACAAATGAAGTAATTATAGTGCTTCCACTTTTCTTCTGTGGCTAAATCAGATTGTTTTGCAGCAAAAGCCATGTAAGTAGACAATATACCAGCCAACAATTTGCTATTAGATTAAGCCAGATGAAAAGCTAGGATGTGAGATGCCATTCACGAAACTAAAGCAACCCAAATTTGCAGTTAATATGTGAATTTGATGCTATCTCAGATCAATGAACAAAAACAAAAAGCAAAGCTAAACCCAAACAAACAAAGAATCAGAAAAAAAATGAAACATAAACACATGAAATAATCTAGGTATCTCATTTTACTGGATGAAATGAAAGAACTTCCTCACTGTAAATGGCTTACAGTAGAACTGAAAGTAGATGTGCTTGTCCTCAACCTTCTTTTGTACATTTATGAAGAAATAAATAATTTGTTGCCCTAAAAGAGAGACAGGATGGCATTCGATCCATTTAAAGCTGCATGAATGAAAACTGGCATCTCACCAGTCTGTCTGGCAATGTAAATAATGCATCTTTGCAAGCTGCTATTTGTTTGCATTTCCTTATTATATTTTTTGCATTTAATCTGGAAAATATACAGCAGTGACCTTAGTTATGTAGTTGCCTGCTGAAGCAACATGATCCTCTTTGTGCAAACCCACTACTTGTAAAGTCTGAACATGCCAAAAATTGTATATCAGTTTTTTATTTTTAGTATAGACCAAGATAGCATTGGCCTCCTTCCTCTTACACTCTCCCTGCCCATCCATCTTACTTTAATCAAATAGTTGACTCATGTGAGTTTTGGACAACTGATTCTTTGACAGATTACTGCAATTCAGAAAGCTTTGCTGTTACACTTCTGGGTCCAGTTGGTATTCTCTGATTACTGGTCATGGCCTTATGTGAACTGGATCCTTGGTCTTAATGTGCTCTGATATTGCACAGGTCATGTGCTGCAAAAACTGTCATTGCAACAAGCAGTTTAGGCAGTGGTGACCAGAAAGAGGCAGGAACAGGTCCTGCTCTATAAGTAGCTATTCCCACATAGAATCACACCACAGATATGAGTGTTCATGGTGAATGTCTCCAGAGACCCCCGTGAAATCTGCTCTGGAGATAGCACTGCCAACAGAGAATCTTTAATGGTAGAATTATGATCTTCAATTTTCTTTTGGTGTCTCTTTTTATATTTCCAGCAACTTTTTCCTTCCCAATTTGTGATTTTGTATATTATGATGGATGTTATTGCCCTAGGTTTTTACTGTGAAAACTGTCTTAAAAATGAGGTTTTAACTTTCTGAAAAATCAGTTAATTCAAGATTTTACTTAATGCAAATAATCAGGACAAAAAAATTTATACTATAAGCCTTTATTTTTTTTCATCTTCTTTTAGAATTTTTTTTCATTATAATTAGCTTGAATCCTTCCTTCCCATCTGAGATGGGAGATAACAAGAATTTGTTCTGGATCTCATTTCCATAATGTTTCAATTAAGAATGTTTCAATGTTAGATATCTGAAAGCTTTGGAAATATAAACAGTAAATATAATTGCATAAGTGAAGTAAAATCAATAATTTAATTTTGTTTCCTAATCAAAATCATGCCTGGAAAAACAGAAAAAACAGGTCCACTCTCAGAGGGGCAAGCATTTTTCTCTTAAATTCACCTGGAAACTTTAAAAAATTCCTGGTTTGCATGGTTTTACTCAAAGTAGCCTGAAATATTGCACAAACTTACGCTGATTGTTATACATTTTGGAAAATAAAAAATATAAACCCTGCTTCTGTGGCTGTGATATGTTGTTCTGTAAATTCAAAAGTGCAGGACAAGAGTTTACGTATGCAAGCTTTAGAAACCTTCTGATTATAAAGATGCAATTAGGCTGGAAAAATTACTAATCCAGCATTGTATTTACTCCCAATGGGATTTTAGCAATACTTAGCCAGGTTTTTTACACATTTTATTGATTTCACTCTGACATACAGAAATCTAAATTGTTGTTGCAGTCATTCAAGGTAGGACTTCATCTACACCAAATAATTTATGTTCATCAAAGTGCTTATTTATATATAATACAACTGCACAACCAGTACAGAAAAAGCTGTGATCTCCAATGACAAGTTTATAGTTCAGACAATTACGAAAATGTCCACTAAGAAACTGAGTGCAACAAATGGTGAGATTCCCAACTCACACACCCCACAGGAACTATGGCTTACCTCTATCAGCAATGGTTAAGGCAGATGGTCTGGTGTGGGAAGCAGACTGCAGCCTGGAGGTGATACAGCTGCAGTTGTTCAGCTCTGCACTGGGGTTCAAGAGTCCTTTGCCCTGCAGAGTTTGGTGGACCATCCCACGTGAGGTGTGTCACTCAGCAGTTTGCCTGAGCAATTTTTTCTGAGGTGCTAAAATCCTGGTGAAGTCAACAGGAGTGGTCAATTTCCAGCAAGACCGGTGAGAAGTTTTACAGTGCTGCCTGACCCAGAGCTGCTGGCTCTTGCTGGTGCAGTCCTCAGACCCCATCCCCAGCCCTCAGTCCCTGTTCAGTTTCACTTCTACCTATGTCACAGCCGGAGTCCAATTTTGTCCATTTTAAAACCTTCCAACAAAATGGAGCTTTTCTCAGTGGCTCATTTCTATTGCACCAGTGAGTGTGGGGGTGCTCAGAAATTCTGGCTAAGAAAACTTAGGTCTTCTTTAGTGATTAACTGTTCTGGAGCACAGCACTACAGGTGCCCAGGTGCTGGTGGAGGCTGCAGGGTGACCTCTGTGAGGAGCAGCCCTGGGCTGGACATGACCAGTTCCAGACGGCTCCAGGGCACTGAGCTCAGGGCACAGCTGAGGCTGATGGTGGTGCCTCCGGGAAAGCATTTGTAAGGAAGGTTTGGAAGTGCCACAGAGAAAGAGAGGAGGAACAAAAAGAGTGAGAAGCAGAAGGTGGAGCACCAAGAGCAGAAGATGAGGAGGAAGAGAAGCTGCTCTACACCAGGGCAGATATTTCACTACAGCCTGTGAAACATCCATGCCAGAGCAGGCTGAAAGTCTGAGAAGGACAAAGCAGTGAAGAGGAACCACCGTGGGCCAGCCATTACTGATAGAGACTGGTGTGAAGGAGTGATTTTAAGCTTGAGAAAGGAGGAAGAAGGAAAGATGTTAATTTAATGTTTGCCTTTCTGTTTCCCACTATCCACATCATGAAACCATACATTTTCGTGAGCTTATTTTCCCTGAGTCTTCCTTGTTCACAAGAGTAATTAGTAAACAATCTGCCAGTCCTTAGCTCAACCCATGAGCTTCCTCATTCTTTCTTGTTCTTCCTATTTTCTCTCCCTGAGTGAGGGCAGGAGTGAGAAGCTGGGTGGAGGTTTGGCTGTTAACCAAGGCTGACCCACCACAGCTTGTTCTTACACAGATCCTATACATGTCCTACTGAAAATCAACAAAATGCTATTTATCCCAGGCTGGGGGTCGCCACTTAGAACACAAGACAGAACATATGTAAATTGTACATTGCCACAAAAATTTATCCCACCAATCCCCAACTCTAGAAATTCACAGCTAGTTTTTTTTATACACAGCAACTGACTGCTTACTGTAGTCTTGTTTAGATGCCAAATTCTCCATGATAAAAACTCTAGGACAACAAAATAGAAGTGCAGTAAGCACAGTTTTAGAGAGGTCTTTATCTGCTAGGACACAGGCACTCAGGAGAGCAGCTGAAACACTTTTCCCTTTCCTATCTTAAAACTTTTCTTCCACCTCTCAGTATAGTAAGAAATGAGAGACTTATCCCCTTAGGGAGAACACTGGTCTCCCACTGGTCATTTAAGCTGCTTTGAACTTAAAACAGTCAGCATCTGACTGCCCTCAACTGCACACCATTGGCAGCACTTCTTTCCAGGGATTGAAGATTTTGGAAGCCAAGAAAAAAATTAAAAGTACTATATGAATAGTAGTGTTGAAAGTGAAGATGTGAGGGGCTGGTAATTGACAAAATAAAAGGAAATGAAAAATGCTTTATAAGGGTTCCTAGGCAGGAACCACACACAAAAGTAGTATTTGCTAAATATTCATCTTAAAGAAGGTGATATTTCTGCCACCTTTTAGTTCTCCAGAAGGAACAAATACAAAGACAATTGAAAGTATGAAATATGTATTATTTATACACCTGAAAAGGTCACTAGATCTCTAGCTTGAATACAATCCATTTATCCTGAATGAAGTTCTCCAGAAATTCCCAGTTAGCCAAATACATAAGGAGTCATATTATTCACCTATGGGCAAAACAGAGTACTCCTCCCAATGCTGAATTCTTAGAAATTTGATTAAACATTGAAATGACATAACATTTTGTGGGGTTTCTCTTGATTTACGGATTTTTGTGTATGCATGTCATTTGTGATATATACTCCACACAACCATTTGTTCTGAAGTCCTCACATCTCAAGAACTGGGATCGTTATTGTTGTAAATACTTCTCATACTGAAGCAGAGTTTTCTTCAGTTTTCAGTTTTGTCTTTTATTATGATAGAGATTAGTCAAAGTTTTAGAATACATTTTATTTTGGCTGGTCTAAAAACCTAGCAATTCATTCAGTAATGCTTCCTTTGGGAAAAGTATTGTAAAAATTGCACTTTCCAGATACAACTTTTATTACACAGCTCTTTTACCAACACTCACTAGATAAAATTTCTTTACAACTTTGAGTCTTTTTCTTTGGCTGAGTTGCTTGTTCTCAAAGGGAAAAATATGTTCTTGCTCAAATAATGGCCCCTGTGTTCCCTTTGGCTTGATTCTTGCTCTGTATTAAGAATAACCTAAGTTGTGCCATTTTTCTTCTCCACCCATTGCAGGAAAAATCCGAGCTCAAAATCGTTTAAGGAGCCTGAAGGTGCACAAGTCCATGGGACCTGACAAGATACAACCATGGGTACTGAAAGAACTGGCTGAGGAAGTGGCTATGCCACTACCCAACATATTTGAGAAGTCATGGCAATCTGGTGGAGTTCCCACTGACTGGAAAAGGGGAAATATAATACCCATTTTTAAAAAGGGAGATAAGGAAGAAGCAGGGTACGACAGGTCAGTCAGTCTCACCCCAGGGTCTGGCAAGATCATGGAGCGGCTCCTCCTGGAAACTCTGCTAAGGCACAAGTTAAATAATGAGATGATTGGTAACAGCCAGCATGGCATCACTAAAGTCAAATCATGCCTGACAAATTTCCTGTCCTTCTACCACAGGGTTACGGCAGTGGTGGATGAGGGAAGGGCAACAGGCATCATCTCCTTGGACTTGAACCAAGGCACTGTCCCACATGACATCTATGTCTCTAAAATGGAGAGACGTGGATCTGATGAGTGGGCCACTGGGTGGATAAAGAATTGGCTGAATGATCATGCTCAAAGTGTTGAAGTCAGTGGTGCAATGTCCAAATGGAAAGCAGTGCCAAGTGGTGTTCCCCAGGGGTCAGTGTTTGGGCTGGTGCTTTTTAACATCTTTATTGGTGACATGGACAGTGGGTTTCAGTGCACCCTCAGTGAGTTCACTGATGACACCCAGATGTGTGATGCGGTCAACACACTGGAGGGAAGGAATAACACCCAGAGGGATCTTGTCAGGCTTGAGAGGTGGGCCCAGGTCATCCTGATGAAGTTCAACAACGCCAAGTGTGAGGTCCTGCACCTGGTTTGGGGCAGTCCCAAAAACAACTTTAGGCTGGGCAGAGAATGGAAAGAGGCTAGCGCTGGGGAGAAGGACTTAGGATTGCTGGTGGATGAAAGACTTGACATGACTCAGCAGTGTGTGCTAGAAGTAAAAAAAGCCGTCTGTATCCTGGGCTGCAGCAAAAGCAGCGTGGCCAGCACATCAAAGGAGGTGATTCTCTCCCTGTACTCTGCTCTGGTGAGACCCCAGCTGGAGTACTGTGTTCAGGACTGGGAACCCGAGCACAAGAAAGATGTTGACATGTTGGAGCAAGTCCAGAAGGGAGTCATTAAGTTGAGCACAGGGCTGGAGCACATCTCCTATGAAGATAGGCTGAGAGAGATGGGGCAGTTCAGCCTGGAGAAGAGAAGGCTTCGGAGATACCTAATAACAGTCTTCCAGTACCTACAGGGAGCCTGCAAGAGAGCTAAAGAAGGACATTTCACAACAGCATGTAGTGACAGAGAGAATGGCTTTAAGCTGAAGGAGGTTGGGTTTAGTTTGGATATTAGAGAGAAAGTTTTTACTGTGAGGGTGGTGAGGCTCTGGAACAGGTTGCCCAGAGAGGTTGTGGACTCTCCATCCCTGGAGGTGTTCAAGGCCAGGTTGGGCAGGACTTTAAGATACCTGGTCTAGTGGAAGGTGTCCCTGCCCATGGAAGGAGGGTTGGAACCAGATTATCTTTAAGGTCTCTTCCAACCCTAACCATTCTATCATTCTGGGTTGTGGACTCTCCATCCCTGGAGGTGTTCAAGGCCAGGTTGGGCAGGACTTTAAGATACCTGGTCTAGTGGAAGGTGTCCCTGCCCATGGAAGGAGGGTTGGAACCAGATTATCTTTAAGGTCTCTTTCAATCCTAACCATTCTATCATTCTCAAATTCTAAAGGATACTCTGCCAACAGGCAAACTTCTTCCCAGATTTGATTTTACCTGAAATGTTCTATTAATTTCCTTTCAGAATACCAAATGGTAATAAGCATGCCCATGTTTAAGCCTTTGGGGTTTGTCTCAGTCACCAATAAAATTGTAATAGATAGTATGGCTGGTGGTTGAATCTGCAAACTGCTGAATTTGGGTAGTAGCAGAGGTAATAAGAAGTTTCTTCCTGTTAAGTTTGATATTTGCTTTCATAATTCTAATTTTTTTTTCATTTTTTGTGCTAAATCTTGCTCAGGAAATAATTTGTTCTTCTATTAATCCCATGTTAAACTCCACCTAGAAGAAAAATCTTTTTTGAAACTGAATCACCAAACTAAAAAATGTTAGTTATGGTAAAGAGTAACAGAAACATTTAATTCACCTGCTTTTTTAATTCCAAAGAGAGGTATTACAAAATGGAGGTCTACTTGGTTTTGAATCTGCCAAAGAAATGGGAAAATAAAGCTGCTACCATTATACTCCAGGCATACTTTCCAGCTGAATGACAAAGATATAATGCAAATTTATCATGCAACCCAACTCCTGTGGAGTTTCTTTTCCTTCAGAGAAGAAACAATGAAAAGGAGAAGTCTTGAGTATCACACTGATAAATTAAGGCTTAGAAGAAGTGTTTCAGTGAAGAAAAGACAACATGAAGACAACTGGATGAGAGCCTTCCATGCACCTCTCTAATCTGCATTTTCTTGATAAAATCATGCAGCCAGCCTTCCCCAAAACAGCTGAGTCACCTTTGCTTTGATGTGAGTGTGTATAACTCTGCCTTGAGAAAATCTAAATAAATCACTACTGCTTGAAGGCTTTTTTTTGAGTATGCAAGTCCATACAGTGTTTTGCTGTTTTACACATTTAAGTGATTACATAGGTACACTACCATACCTACATTTCAACTGGAATGATGACACGTTCTCTGATAAATCAAATTAGTAAACTGGAACAAGGAACTGGAGTGATGAGTCACATAACTTTAGGAGCTCTTTTAAATTCACAAAAAATATTTTAAATAGTCGATGATAAAAACTAAAATACCCATTTTTCTAAGATTTTAAACCCCTTACTGTTAAATCATACAGATCATCCTCCTTTTTAGTTTATTGTCAAGAGTGTTTTTTTCTATTGATGCCTTGCCAAGTGATTTATTGCCTCTGGGCAGATGTAATAGGGACATTTGGATCCAGCTCCAAATTCACTTTTTTTTAACTGATTGATCATTTAGCTAATTATTTTGGAATCTTCCCCAAAGACTAGGAGAGAAAATTGAAGTACCAAAGCATTTTGTCATGTGTTTATTTTCAAAACAAAAGCCGAAAAGGCATTTAGAAAATTAGTACCAGTAACAGTGAGGTTATTAAATGCTAAATGTCATGAAAATGAAACATCTGGGTGCTTCAGCTTCCAGAAATTAAAGCCTGCAGCATGACTCTAATTTGCTCAAAAGTTAATGATTTAAAGGAAAAATAGTTTAGCATTTTCAGCTGATAGGAATGTTGTTGACGTCCTACAGTTTCCATGGATTACAATTAGTGAAAATGACAAGTTAATATAATCAAGGGCAAGAATACTTCAGAATTAATCCAGGTATGGGAGACAAATTCACATATTCATGGGGATATTTTACAGATTTATCTGTTTGTGGGCAGCTGTGTCATGGACGGGAGTGATTGGCAGACTACAGTAAAAAGGATTTCTGCAACGTAGTTGACAAATTCCCTAAAAAACCACAGAAATAGAGCAGTTAACAAGTTTGGCTATGATCCCATTTGACAGCTATCACCCTTCATATTGAGACCTCTGCTATGAAGGGGTCTTTTATCACATGCAATCATTGTCATTTTTTTTCTTCCAAAAATATGTAATTCTCTGCTTTTCTTTAGATAAATACATATGTTAGAGTGTTAAAGTCATTCTCTAACACTTTTTCTCTAATACTGATATGCTGTATAAATAATATCGTCAGCTAAGATGCAAAGAACTTAGCTGTAGGATGGACCTGAGGACTTAAAACTTGTAATGGAACTCTCAGTTTAAGAAAATTCTGGTATCCATTTTTAGATCAGACCCTTCTTTTATTTTGGTCATATAATTGTCTTAACCAAAACTTTTAAGTGACAGAAAATTATTCAAATTAAATTGTTTGATACTTTTAATGAGATCAAAGAAAGACCTTTTCCAATAATTTTACACAATTTAAAGGTTGATTTTAAAGATAGCAAACAATAATTAAATCCAGAAATACATGACAGAGGTGCTATCTTCCAAGATGCCAGCAATGAATGCTTTTCACACTGTGTCTGACTTCTTAACTATTGATGGCTCAAACAGGTATCACTTGAAAAATACATTTAGTAGAGCTACACTCTAGTTGGCTATCAGCACTTTGACAGTAATTGCCAAAAAAAAAAGCATACAGACTGATGAGAAGAAATGTCTGTGTGTGTGGATGCAGCAAGGCACCTGGACTCCTATGGACTTGCAGAGACCTAAGCATACTCCCTCAGCACACATTTGTAAATTCCTGGAATTTAAAGCTGAAATAGGCTCTTATATTTTAACCTGTGGCCTTTTATATGGAGTATAATAACCCAAGCTGGAATAGAGTGCAGTTCTTTAAAATCTGTTTCAGCCAAACTAAAGGAAGTTTTGTAGATTAAGTACTCTCTTTTTCCCATGCTGTCTGTAATTATAATAAGTTTCAGTTTCCAGTGATGGAGACCTGTCTTTTCTTCCCACAAACACAACTAGAGTAATAGTTTATGTTACTGTTCTCCCATCAACCTTGATGAATCTATGCCAATTTACTGTTATATGTGACTCTTGAAATTTGATTTTGCCAACTGTGAAGGCTCACATGAGGCAGAGATCTAAATAAATCACTTCAATGTAGTGCATTGATGAATCTATGCTAATCATTATTATATTTAATTTTGAAAATCAGATTTTTCCTACTGGGAAAACCTTCAAGAGACACAGATTCAAATAAGCCCCGTCACTGCTATTCTCCAGGAGATGAAGAACTGGAAAAGCTATAAATATTTTTAATTTTGGAGTACTGAGATGTTTAGCTAGGACAACAACTCAGATAATATTAAATGTGCACATATTTGCACATTAAAAATTAAGGGTTTTATATTAAAATTAACTGACTTAAATTATTTAAAAGTTTGAAAACTAACTTTGTCTTAATAGAAAGCCTTCTAAAATAGCCAAACTAGGAACTGGTTTATGAAACCAATTTTTAACTTATGAAAAAAATGCCCAGAGAAAAGCTATTGAGTGGAAAATCCCACACATAAATAGTGAGAGATTCAGGACACAAATGCGAGTGCAAGCATGCTAGTGGAATCTCTCCTTCCTGAGAAGGACCTTCTTCCACTCCTTCCCTCTCTCTCTGAGAGATCAGATCTGCAAGTAGTTGTTCACCCCAACAAGAAATAAGAAGCAGGAGAACAGTGAAAAAAGATGAGAGCAAAGTCAAGGCACAAGGGACACAAGGCTCTGGGTATTTGGAGGTAATGGAAACCAAGAAACCATAAGGTCACTGCTACAAAGTTAGATTTTATTACACTCAAGCATTTTCTGTTCCTCTCTAGGGCAGTAACATTCAAAATTTTGCAAGTATTTCTGAAGGGTTATCTTTGGATGTCCAGTGCTAATGTTCAAAACAGGAATTCAAGCCATTTCCCTTGTCCCTTGTAAGTCACAAGCAGGCTTTGTCTGCTTTTGTTCAATTTTTTTTTTTTTTATAATAGCTTTGATGGATATCATTCCCTGATCAAATCAACTGGCCTAGCCAGCATAAATCTGCAAGCTCTGCATCTGAATCTGCTGACCCACTAAAAAATTAGCATTCTCTTCCCTCCTTCTCTGTTCTCTGGCAAGCACCCAAATAAATCAAGATGTCTGTCATCAGTAGATGGATAAACATCACCCTAAATTTTGATTGCTAGTTCCTCTGGGAAAGAAAAATGCCTCTGTGCAGTGTGATCCCAGTGCTCTTTGGAAAACTGATGATCACACACGGGATATCAGACAATGGAGGCTTGCATCTGTGATGTGCTGGAAAGTTGGCTCTTCGAGGGGACTGAACTGCTGTCACCTCACAGGAAAGTAATTAGCTCACCCACCAGATATGGCCCCAAAAGTGTTTATGGAGATGAGCTTCCTCATGTGTGTGAAGACTGGGAATTATTTGCTTCATGAATCTGTCAGAGCCCAGCTCATGCCAAACAAGACACCCAAGCAGGGTGCTCTTGAACTCCTCTAGTCTGGTTCCTCCATTAATTGTTGTTGTTGGTAACTATCATTTGCAACATATTTGCATGGAGTTTGGCACACATCTCAATAACATATGATAAAAATAAAAAATAATAATCTATATTATTAGTTATATACTATGATAATGATGGTTTAGCTAAAAAATCATCTTATCTGTAACAATCAAAGGTCCAATAATAATATTGTGTTCATACTTGTCTTAATCTGAAAACTGACAAAAACAAAACAGTAACAGCTAATTTTAAAACTTAGAAATATGTGGGATTACACAAAAAAATGCAATGAATTCTATTCTCTAACTCAATTTCACTGGGAAATACTTTCTGTTATACTCTCACTGGTAAAAGAAAGGAAAGCAGAAGGCCCCATATCACATCATTGTGTCTGACAGAAAACCAGCTCCTTACCAAAACTAATTAGTTTTGCTCTTTTAATGCATCCAAAGGCTTCTTCATATGTTTAATTTCTTTTATATTGGAACAGATATTAGATAATGCAACTGTT